TGTAATGTAACATCTCTAGGATGATTGTCCTGAAATGTTTTAGAAACATCCTTTCGAAAATATCTATCGACAAAAAGATTTTTCGTTCTCAAAATTAGATACTTATTACAGCTGAAAAATGGCTAACATTATTTTACAAAACTAGGTAGGACCTCAGACCGGCAGGACCCAGTATTAAATTTGCCAATTTTGTGTGATTTCTGAAAATGTCTCTATCACACACACAAACTAATTTCAAATTCCATAATATACCTGTAATGTATATAGATAAGGTACTTAATATTAATTTTGTATTGTAACAACAGCAAAATTTAATTTTTCATTCGACTTACAACTTGGAATAAAATAAAATATGTATTGATAAAAGTCTTCTCTGTTTTCAACTTTCAAACATCGTGAATATTCGTGAAGCCGAAGTGTATGGCGCAGGCGCGTGCTCAGGCATTTGTACTTGTACCGGTCAGGACAGGAGGGCACGCCACCACGTAGGGTCGGGCGGGTCGGCGCCGCAGCCAGCGCAGACGGGCAGAATCAGTCGAACGGGTCGTCCTGTGCGCTTCGCTTGTGTTGTTGGGCGGAATTTTATTTCGTAATGGCGTCGTGCTGTGTGGAGGATTTGTCAATTTGTGGTTTTTCGCTACACCTAGTTGTGCCATTTTGTGTTCGAAAGGATCTCTGCGACCTACCAGTGCTTATTAGTTGGTGAGAAAGATTATTTGTTGAAAGATAACGTCGCATAACTATCAATTGTTTAGTTTATTTAATTTCAATATGGCGTCGGTTAGGAAATTTCTAACTTTTCTAATAAATAGCCCCTAAAAACCCGAACTTCATTCTTCATTAGGTAAGAGAAAATAACCAATAATTATTTTTTGTTTTCATAGTTGATTACATTCTAGGTGTGCAAGTTGAATTGTACTTCAAGAACTTTGGATTTTGGTTCTGTGGTTGTTTTGGTTAGTTAATGGTACCTTTATGAAATTGGAGCACCAAAAAAAAAAAGAAAACGCCGAACTCCCCCACTACAACATGCTGCCACTGCCAAACTATGGTTTTCGATGACATGACGGGGCATAAATACTACATTATTTAGGCAAAATTGTCCGTCGGTTATTATTAGTTGATAGATAATCAATATAAGTATGCATGTACCTTATTTTTTCAATAAAAAATGTTATTGGAAACTGATGTGCCTACTTAATTTTATAATTTTCAATTTTTGTTTTTTTTTTGGAAAAAGTTCTATCTGACTTCCAGAAAATAGAACGAAAATTGAAAATTATTGAATTAGGTAATTTTTAATCCATAATCCTAAAATTCATTCACCTATTAAAGTCATACTAGAAACATCCCTGAGAGATGTTTCTTACACCTGCCCCGGATGTATTAGGTACATCCCGCGTCATCTTAGAAACATCCCTGAGAGATGTTTATAGGACATCGCAAATGATGACACGGCTGTTGCCTGCAACATCCCAGGGATGTCCCCAGGAAAATAGGGACCTCCCAGGGACGTCTTCATTATCCCTGATGGATGTTTCTGGAATGTTTCTGCGATGTTACTGTGTTATTAGGGTATATATTCAACCTCACGCATTTCATTGATTTTCTTGATAATATCACTGGGTTATCAATTTCATCTATGAAAGATTTATGAAGAACTTTATAATCTGAGACCTTCTACCTTCTAAATCAATGTCCAAGATATTTTTATTTTAGAGGACGCAGTAAAAATTAAAATCTCTGAGAATATAAAAACATCAGGTTTAAATAAAAACCAACCAGTACTGGCATTTAAAATTTTTGAGGAAAAGTCTCACTTATGCACAGCCAGTCAATAAAATATTATATAGAAAAAAACCATATTATATCGCCCGGCAAGTGAGTCTAAGTTGATACTTACATATAAAAAGCCACATAATGCTGCAACATCTCAAACATTGAGCAGGTGGTTGAAGCATGTTTTAAAAGAGAGTGGAATAGACGCCTCTATTTTTAAAGGCTATTGCTTTCCACATGCTTCAACTTCTGCAGCATCACGAGGGGGAGCGAATGTGGAAACGATAAGAAAAGCAGCAGGTTGGTCGAGTAATTCCAATTCTTTCAATCGCTTCTACAATCGCCCAGTTTTACCAGAAGTTGATTTTGCGATAAGTGTTTTTCAAGGATCTAAGTTAATGAACTGATGCTCCTTTTTCTTCTGGCGTATAGGAGCTCTCAGCACGAATCAACCTGCACCATCGATGCTGTTGACTGAAAGCGAAATGAAGTTTCCCGTAAATCAAATGTTTGTTAGACCAGACTTAAAGTAGACTTCCAACTTACGTGTTGCTGATCCCCAGGACAGTCTCCAAGTAGTGCATGACAATGCCAGGAGCATATCACGTCCGAGCAGCGACACAATAAAAATGAGACTCGACAAACGGCGGTTATCGAACATCAAACACCCTTAAAAGGCAACGCCGTTTGGTTGTATCAGCCATAGCGAAGACAGGGAATTACAAAGACCGTGCGAATAGTATTAAGGGATCATTGAGAAGATCAAAGTTGGAGTACAGGATTCAACTTTCTCCGGAAGCCAAGTGAAAGGTTGTGGACGTGGAAATGCCTGCTTCATACAGAAGAACTAGGAGAAGCTGTTCAGTGCCAACAGCTTTAAGGAAGAGGGCAGTAATTATTATCTCAAGTTGGCGAAATTTTCCACAATCTTGCAACACCGCTTGATGACTTTTTCGGGAGTGAACTTTTACCGCGCAACAATCGAGCAAATTCTAAACGAAAGGCAGCGAATTATCTTGACAATTCTTATAGAACGAAGAGCTATAAAACGGCCACCGGGGTAGAATGCCGTTGATAAATTGGACGTCCGGATAACCAGTGGAGCGCGGGTCGATAATGGGCTCTTTCACTAATTTTTGAAATTGGCATATTTGGATAAAGCAACTAAAAACAGAATTTTTTGTATTTTTACTTTTGAAAAATTCATAGTCCTTCTTGAGAAAACAGAAAAAAAAGAAATACCTCCAAATAAAAACCCAGAATTTATTTCTATGACGTCGCAGCTCGCAATTTGACCGTGTTGCCACTAATTGTCAACACTGAAAATTTGTAATAGATTTAATTCTGAAATGTTCGCAAAATATCATGAAAAGTAGTTAAATTAATTACTTATGGATTCAAGATTTTATAACTTTTTTATTGAAATTATGCTTAAACACAATTTAATACAACAGCGCATTCGAACTTTACCTGCTTTTACTACAGGGTACACAGCCGAGGCGGTCAGCTCCTTTGTAACAACAAGCGAAATGAAAAATATTTAGGTGACGTCAGCAAATCGGCGCGTTTTAAATTAATTTAAATTTCGTCAATTTCAAATGCCTGTAAAAAACTGATTTAACCTTGTAGAACATTTTTTTTTTGGTACCTATATATGCCTAAAATAGTCCCTCCTTTGGGATTTTATACTTAAATTACGTATTTAAATTTTAGTGAAAGAGCCCATTAGGCAGTGAGTTTTGATTCAGATTTTTGACTAGTTAAGGTTGAATGTAGTCAGAGCTGGGCAGTAGCTAGCTACTAAGTAGTTAAGCTACCAGCTTAGCTACTTTTTTGGTAGCTAATAACTTATTCAAGCTACTTTGAAAAAAAAGTAGCTTGTAGCTGTAGCTTTTGGTAATTTGTTTCAAGTATTCATAAGCTACTGTGAAAAGTAGCTAGCTACTAAAACAAGCTACTTAAGCTACTTTTGGTAGATAGTTAATAGTTAAATTTAGATATTAATGGCGGAAAGTGTCATTTACCGCCCGAGGGTGTGGTTAACGATACTTAACGCCCAAAATACTTATTACGTTTTATGCGCAGCGGACTCTTCTAGTTTAAAAATGAAATAACCATACCTATAATATAAGGCACGTTTCCACCAACCTATCGCCCGCGTTTGAATTTACCGCTCGATAAAAGTAAGTTTATACTTTAATTGCTCAAGCTACAATTATCATTTTCCGGAAAATTCTTATCCTGCTTTGCTTAGACTAGTTTCTAGTTATCTTTGTAGGTACCTATGTTTTATGTGTCCTATTTTATTCTTGCATTCGCAGATCACTGTGATCAAAGAGAACCTAATAAATTAATGTCCAGTGGTTTTTGACAAAAATATGAATACTACTTCTTAGAGAAAGTTAATATGTTATTTTCGTATGATGATATTATGAAATTAAATTAGGTAAGGTATGTATATTGATGGTGGCGATTGTGCACGCTTTTTTGTTTTTATCAATTTAACTTTCAAAAAAGTAGCTTAAATAGTAGCTTTCACTAATTCAAAATGTAGTTAAGTTACTAATAGCTTAGCTACTTTTTCAAAGAGGTAGTTGAGCTACTGAGTAACTTAGCTACTTACAATATAAAGTAGCTTGTAGCTTGTAGCTAGCTACTTTTTCCAAGTAGCTTGCCCAGCTCTGAATGTAGTTGAGCTGTGTTAGAATAGTTTCGTCGTGATTTTTCTGTTATTGCCTTGAATAAAAATAAATTATTCTTGAAATCTCATTTCTACGACACTATCAAAACTAATTAATTATTTTTATATTTCCGTTGATAGATAATAAATACTCTCACTAATTCAACCGGAGAAAAATTTGGAAAGACGTTTAATTTTCACTAGGTACTCTGAAAAAATGACAAAGCCATATTTTGCTCTAGTCACGGTGGCAATGTTACGTGGACTTAGATCTCAATCATTTTTGGGACCTCAAAAGACATTATATGCCATTTTTGTTGACTTATACAGATACTAGTATGTACTTTCTCTTTGTAATAAACGAATGTTATAATAAAAAATACTATAATACGTAACTCCGAGCCCTGTGGAATCTTGTTCGATTATGACACTCAGTTAATTATGTGATAATTGATATCAGATGATATGGGATAATATCGAAGGAGCGTCCATGGACTTGTAAGATGCATTATTTAATTATCAATTGAAATAAAAAAATTACCTGTGGAGTACTGCATATAACGGCTCCGACCCAGGCACTGATAATCATAAATTTTTCTCTTCTGTCTAAATTAACAAAGTGCAGAGGTTTTAGGACTGCATAGTACCTGGAAATATATTAATGTTAGGTGCCAATAATAGTTTAAACCAGACGAGGATAACATCGGGCTCATTTGACTTTCTCTGTAAACTCTATTTTCGCAATTCAAAATACCACGATGCCAATTTAATTATTGGATTAAAAGCAAAATACATTAATTACATTTTGTACCTGTGTGCTCTTTCAACGTTCTACACCAGCCAAAATGGATTAGTTTTGTTTTTGTTCACTTTTTAATCTACTTTACCTGTCGATGCTTATGCAACAAAGTATAAAACTGGACAAATATAAGCCGAAAATTCGAAAAAAGCTCATTATCCTGCACATAACGTCACCTGCGAGCCATTGGACGGTGAAAGCCCAAGCGATTTCCAGAGGCATCATCAGAAATGTGACCTGAAACAAAACACATTTTTATAACCAGAATAATTTAATCCAGGTTATGTCGATATAATGGGGAAAACAACATGTTGCAAGTATCTTTTTTTGAAAATAATTTAACTTTCGTTTTTCTATGAAAAATGAACGTGCCTTCAAGTTTAATACGAATTCACACGCCTGCGCCCGGTCTTCTACCTCCGTCATCTTAATTAATCGCTTTTTGTTAAATTTATACGGTGCGTTATACTGCAATTTGTAGGGAAAGATCCTATAATGAGGTAAAAATAAAATTGTTGTGAATTGAATTTCCTGAGAAAATCTGGTTTTTCATGGTTTTAATCAGTTTGTAGCTAATTTCGTCAATTATTTATAGCAAACATTTCACTGACCGTAGTAAGTACTGGAATCGAAAAGTAAAATTACGTGCTGTTTGGGGCTCTACTTTTTTCACGCTGCTTGAAAGTCGGATGTCTAATAGAATTTGGTGAAAGATCCGCAGCTGGCTGACCTTTTAAATCTAGAGTTACCCATATGCCCAGTGATCGCCGACTGTGGTTTAAATTTTAGGACAATAATAGAATCATACTGAAATTTTGTTAACACGTTGAGTACCAACAATGCTTTAACCAATTCTATACTGCTGTACTGCAGTGGATAACTTGCAAACGGATTGACATATTAATATGAAACTAAGACAGAAATTACTAACAGGAGTTCTTAATATGACTTTGACAGCTCTAGCTCTGACCTTGAGCCACTATAGTGGCCACTGGTCTATTTTGAAAAAATATGAGCCTGATGTACCAATGGCCACTATAATGGCCATAAATAAACTAAGACTTTTTGAAAAAAATAAATAAAAATTATGGAAATACAAAGAAAACTTCAAACAAAAATCATATATTTAGCTGTATTTTGTGTGCCTTATCTTAAAATACGGATGAATGCATAAACCTGGACTTCCATCGCACTTTGGGCATTGGTATCTGGTCCTTTTTCTTATGTTATTTCTGGAACTTTGTTGGCACCTCAGTTGGCACCATTTGGAGGGCGTTGAATTTTGTGTTTTTTTCGGGACTGGTTCTAGCGTTGCTCTAGGTAATGAAACGAATTCGAATCAGGATGCATTGCAGTTTTTGCAGTTTTCCTATTTCTATTTGCTTCAAATATTTTGATAATCCCTCGGATAATCCATTTCTCTGAAGGTATGTCAAGCAGTTTCCACTCCTGAATGCACAGAAGCTGCCTAAATCGAACAAGATACTTATTCAGCACAAGTGAAAATAAACGACTATTGCAGGTACTACATGGCACATATAGTGGCCATGGTGAGTGGGCGCTTTTGCCAACCCTCTCTGTTTACCACACAACTAAATAAAACCTTCTATTTTGTACTGAGGCAATTCAGACTCGTTTAAAATATTTCAAAATACCGGCCACTATTGTGGCCGCGATTTATAAATTCACTTTTTTATCATTTGGGTTACTGTCATTTATTGGGTTAACCTTTTCTCGATATATCGTTCCTCCTTGATAGTCAAAAGCGCCAATGTAAATGGCGTTAAAGAAGAGGTTTTGCTGCGACAAGGATTGTCAGAGGACAACTACTGTCCAGCATTATTGGTCAGTCAACGACGCGGATCGTATCGGTACGTAGGTACCTAACATTTTGGCGACGAGGATGGGATAGCGAAAGCCCCATAACGGAATATTCGTAATAGTTACCCAGAGTAAAAGATTCGTTTAAGTTTCACACGTCCGGTCACGGCCGGTATCTTTAGTTTATCGTCGAACGGTAATAATAAAGTACGGACCCGGTGCAACTGATAAAAACAAAATGGCAGCATCCTACGGCAACATCGAACCTTTCAATGTCAACAACCCGTCAGGCTGGGAATCTTATCAAGAAAGAAATGATTTTTATCTTGCAGCCAATAAAATTAAAACTGAGGAGAAGAAAAAAGCAATTTTTCTAACACTGTGTGGTCCTACGACTTATGAGATTGTGCGGTCGTTAATAATTGCCCCCGCTAAGCTTTTGACGAAATCATAAGGACTTTAACGTCTCATTTTGCCCCAAAAACGTCGGAAATTGTGGATCGTTTCCGTTTCTATCGGCGTGATCAGAAGCTAGGCGGAAGTTTCATCGAGTATCCAAAGGAATTACGCGCTCTAGCTGAAAAGTGCAGTTTTACAGATTTGAACACAATAATGTGCGATAGGATTGTGTGTGGTATTTTGGAAGAAGGCGTGCAACGCCGCTTTTTGTCAGAAGACAAAATCACTTCCAAAGACGCATGCGATAAGTGCGTAGCTCACGAGTAGGCTGCAGCTAGTATGTGTGCCATGCGAGAAACGGTACAGACCCCGACTGGGTCCAAAAATAGAATGAACTATTCACGGAATGACAAGTCAGCTGGTACCCAACATCAACAACAATCAGCTGACTCATCCAGGTTTCAAAAGAAATCATGTTTTCGTTGTGAAGGCGACCGTTTTCCAGATGTGTGTGTCTTTAAAAGTGCAAAATGTCGTTTTTGCATCAAAGAATGACATATTGAGCGGGCTTGTTTTGCAAAAGCAAAATAAAAATAAGAATCAGAAAAGAGTTAATCAGCTGAATCGATTGTCGGAGGTAGCCAATGTGAAAAAAGTGCAAAATTTTGAGGAATATCAGCTCAATGACTGCTGTGAATATGACGACGTCGTGAATATGGTTAAATCTTGCCCACTGGTAAACCTGTGAAAATAGAAATTGAGTCGGGTGCAGCATACAGTGTGATTGGTCGGCGAACCCTCCAGGAGTTATTCAGTGACACTCCTCCTTTGATTCGCCTGTCGAATACAATTTTGCGTGATTATCAACAGTCAGTGATAAGCATTCTTGGAGAACGTGATTTGCAAGTGACATATGGTTGTAAAACAGTTAAACTGCCTTTGATCATAGTGGATGGGGATACGGCTGGTCTTTTGGGCAGAAATTGGTTTGGATCATTGGGTTTGGCCATCGCTGGCGTCTTTCAAATCAGTATAGACACAAAATGCATACAAGAATATCCAAAAATATTCAATGAAAATTTAGGCAGTTATATTGGACCGCCGATGAGTTGTGATTTAGACCCTCATTTTAATCCAATAGCTTTAAAAGCAAGAACGGTGCCTTTTGGTTTAGAAGAAAAAGTGGATCGTGAGCTTGACCGTTTAATAAACCAGGAGGTATTGGAACCAGTTACTTATCCTAGATGATGCACTCCCATTGTTCTGGTGAATACAAGCAATGATAAGGTTTGGATTTGTGGGGATTATCGCTTCACAGTCAATAAAGCTTTACGGGCAGATCTCTATCCAGTTCCTTCAGTGCAGAAAATTTTAGCAACTTTGGCTGACGGTAAAGTTTTTGCAAAATAAGACATGGCTCAAGCCTATTTGTAATTGGAAGTGGATGATGCTACAGCCGACGCTCGAAAAATAATTACTCATCGTGGCGCTTTTTATTGTAAAAGGCTACAGTTTGTGGTATGTGTTGCGCCGCAGGTTTTTCAACGTTTTATTGACTTGAGACTTACCGGAATACCAGGAGTTTTGCCCTACTACGATGACATTTTAATTGTTGGTAATTCAGACAGCGATTTAGAAAACAAAATTAGAAAAATGCTGACTCGTTTCCAGGAAGATGGGTTACATTTGAAAAAAAAAATGTGTTTTTTATACCAAAAAAATTACATTTTTGGGATTTGAAATTAGTGACACTGGAATAAGACCTACCAAAGATAAAGTTGACGCAATTACTAAAGCTCCCGCCTCCATCGAACAAAACTGAACTACAAGCTTTTCTGGGTTTAATAAATGTTTACCACATATTTCTGAAAGACAAAGCTACGATTGCAGAGCCCTTACACAAGTTGTTGCACAATGATTAACTATTTCAGTGGCAGGCAGAGCAAGAGCAGTCTTTTAATAAACTAACAGACATTCTAGTAAGTGAACCTTTGTTAGGGCACTATAATGAGAAGGAACTTTCAATATTGACTTGTGACGCTAGCCTTTACGGCGTGGAATATATTCTGAGCCAGTCAAAAGAACAGGGTGTAGAATTACCAGTGGCGTATTATAGTAGAACATTATCAACACCAGAACCGAATTTTGTCCAAATTGGCCGTGAGGCTCTCTCAGTGGTGATAGGCGTTGAAAAATTCCACGATTATACCTATGGACGTCATGTGATTATAAGAACCGACCATAAGCCGTTGTTAGGAATTTTTGGAAAAGGCAAACAAATTCCAGAAGTTTTATTCCCTAGAATGTTACGCTGGACAATTTTATTAAATGCGTACAGCTATGACTTACAATATACTCCAGGTAAGAGTATTGGAAATGCTGACGCTTCAAGCAGACTACCTGTGAAGGTCAGGTTTACAGAACCCCCTCCATCTGACGATGTCTTGATGTTGGGAAATATACCAAGAGAAATTTATGATGCTAAAAAAATAGCTGTTAAAACAAAAAAGGATCCAGCTTTGTCTAAAGTTCTTCAATGGGCATGGAAGGGCTCGCCCCACGATAAAAATCATACACAATTCAGCTCTGAGGTTTCGCCCTATTTACAAAGAAAAAACGAGATAACATATTATCAAGACTGCCTACTTTGGGGTACTAGGGTAATCATTCCACCAGGAGGGAGGAACAGGATATTAGAAATCCTACATTCAGAGCACCTGGGCATAGTAAAGATGATGGGTTTCGCCTACCTATATGTGGTGGCCTAACCTACCCTGAATAAACAAATGGAAAACCTAGTAAATGCGGGCGAACAATGCCAAGAGGTAGGTAAGAAATATGCCTAACAGGGCACTCACCCACCCATAAAGAGTGATCTCGCTATCCCTGGCAAAGAATTCACATTGATCATACAGGTCCTTTAGAGCGAAATTACTTTCTAATAGTGGTTGATTTTTTTTCAAATGGCTTGAAGTGAGAAAAGTTCCAAGCACATCCACCGCAGACACAATCAAAGT